TTTGGGGGAGAGTAGGAATTAAAAAGGGGCCCAGGTAAGGAGAGAGCAGGAATTAAAAGAAGGGAACCTAGATGGTTATTTAAAAATAAAACAGGCTGGGAATCACGAGATTAGATCTACTTTATGTCAGTGATTACTGGAGACTATTTCGGTGTCAAGGTTCTACCTGCCGGTATCTTAAACTCCTCTGTGATTAGAAGGATGGAAATGACAGCTACTCTCATGTTCTCCCTTCCTGAAAGCTAAGGGCAGAGAAAAGTAGAGCTGCTTCTGAGAAACAAAGATGCTTTCTACCATTCTTCTAAGATGGTGGAAGAGTCTTAAGAGGCTTCCCCAAGAAGGAAAAATGAAAGAGGGAAAGAAAAAAAGCCACAGCAGAATTCCGTGGCCGTGTTTCGTGCCATTGCTCCCTCACATTCACTGTGCAACCACTTTGGTCCGGCCATCTCCCTCCCAGGAGGTTAAGCCCTCCCAGGGCATTGTTTGGCCGCGGTCCCTATTTACCACTCAGATCGCCTCCACCATCCCTGCTCTGGGATCTCGCGAAGCCCCAGGACAGAACGCCGAAAAGCTAAGAGAGGGCTTGGTTTCGAGGACCTCCTCCAAAAGCCCTCTCGCCAGCTGGTGTAGAAAAGGGAGAGAGAACCCTGGCCTTTGCTTGGGTGGGTTCCTTAGGGGTCAGAGGCTTCTCCTCAGCCGGTGTCGAAGGGAGGTGGCCATTTGCGCCGGGCGCTCGGTATTGAAAAAGCCCTACCAGAGAGGGGCCTCCGCAGGCCCCGGACTCCGGGCCGGGTCCGAGTGTCAGGTGCGGCCCCCAGTTCCCAACCCTCGGGGCACTGGCGACGAAGCACACAGGCCCGGGGCTGAGACCGGTCTCCCGCCCGACCGCCGAGGACTTAGGGACCCGAGCTAGGGCCCCAGCCGCATCGTGCCCGCCCCCGCCCTACCTGTGGGGGCCCGGGCGGGGTCGCTAAGGGCCGCTCCCGGGAGCCCCGCGACGGCGCGGCTCGGAGACGGAGGCGCCTCGTCTCGCCGGGGCAGAGCTCGGCGGCGGTTTCACGACCTCAAACTCCATCGGGAGCTATAGGGACAGCCCCGTTGGCGGCGGCGGAGGCCGCGACGGGGCCTCCTCCTCCTCCCTCCGCCTCCGCCTCCTCCTCCTCCTCCTCTCCACGGAGGCGGTCCTGGAGGGATCCCGACCTAGCTCTCGCGAGAAGATACTGCCTCTTTCACGCGAGATCACGCAGGCCTTGGCGTTAAGGAGGTGGAAGCAAAGAGTAGTAGCCCCCGCCACCTGGACTGCGCATCAGCTTCCCTCTGGTCGAGTCTAACCACCCCTGTCACGTGACTAGGTAGCCCCGGAGCACTGTGGGAGGTGCTGTTAGCAGGCCTAGACAAGCCGAAAGGGTTGATGGGAAACTCCCTGCACCTTCATCAGCGCTTTGAGTCAGCCTCCTAGACGCTGATGTGAGAGAGTCTGACTCCCCTCGTGAAAAGGCAGTCTCCATTGAGCATGATCTGATATATCTGTATTATATTCTATGCACTCTCTGGTAATCAAATACTGACCCGTTCCCTCAATCCCTCCACATATTTGCCAAACAATCTCCCTATTAAAAAAAAAAAGAGAGAGAGAGAGAGAGAGAAAGAAAAGCATTTGCTTGGCAGGCACGAACACAGATCTCTTTCTTAAAAAGAAAACTTAACTCTTCAGAAGCTGACAAGGATAAAAATTCGATTAATATCTCAATACTTGTTGAAGGATTTTTCACAGCAAACTGTAAAGCCTGAATTATATATTTTTTAAGATGAAGAAGCAGAGAAATAAGGGAATTAGCATTTATAAAGTGCTTACCATGTGCTAGGTCCTGTATTAGGTAATAAAAATTTCATTTTTACCATTGGTTTTGGTTTTATTCACTCATTAAAATAATCCTAAAAAGAAGATACTACACATTCTGTTACTGAGAAACTGAAAAACACAGACTAAGAAAAATGGCCATGATTTGTAATTAAACTCAAGGCACTTTCCTATGTGAAACCAGATGTCCAACAAAGGTAGGTATGAAAGTAAATCCACTATGAATTAAAAGACATATGAACAAGTAGTTTATAAACTGTAAATGTATATGTATATATTCATATATATTCAAATATACATATATATAGACACACACATTATTCTACTGGATAGTGTATATGACAGTCTGCAAAATTTTTCAAAGGTGGCCTGACCATCACAGTTAAAATTTTAATCCCAATTTCCATTCCCTGACACTCTCTACCCCTGCTTTATTTTCTCCAACTTCGTTTTCAAAATCTGATATACACCGATTTTACTTGTTTACTGTTTTTCTCCTTCCACTACAATACACCTTTCATGAGAGCAGGGATTTTTCTCTGCATACCTAACTTCTAATACTATATAGACTCAGTAAATATTCTTTGACTGAATGAATGACCAGAAGAAAGTTTCCTTCTTTAAAATTCACAGATGTAGACATAACACAAAGTTCTCCATTCCCATCTCCAGTTTATTGGTTTTTTTTAATATAAACATATAGAATAGTTACATCCAAGAAAAAAACAGCAAGAATTTTCTCTTATACCAAAGTAACAATTAACTTTCCAAGACTCTTTATACATAGATGCAGTAAATGAAGAGGCTGAACTCAAACATGTTGCATTTTCCCCCAACATATCAGAAACACAAACAAAAAGTGAATGTTTTAAATGAATAAATTCAACACTTTACTTTGCCATACCTGCATTTTTAAAAAGATTCCATTTTCCTGGAATTGTTTATATACATCATGCAAACAGACACTGTCCTAGGAATGTTCTGAGATCACTCTCTGCTACTGGACAGGAATAAATAAAAATAAATAACAACCATCACTTTCACAAAACAACCCTTCCCCCAAGCAAATATCTCAAAGTGCTTACAAAAAATGTCACAAGAATCTTACAAGGCACACATAAATCTTAAACATATTTCAACCATAATTTTTTCCAAACATCAAGGATAGTAGGTACCAATTCCTAAAAAACCAGTTTATTACTATTCTTTTACCCTTCCCTCCCATCTCTAGCCCTCCCCCAGAAAATTTCATCCTAGGAAGCAAAAATAAGAAAAGTACTTCAAGCACAAACTATTTCTGAAAGGGAAATGTTTTCATAACTACAATCATGGCCAATTATAGATCTAATCGCAAAGAAATTTAAATGCTGCACTATCATGTTCTCCATTGAAGAAAAACACTATTTACTTTAGAAAAATTGTCTCCAAAGTAGTACTCAAATAGCAACATTCATAAAGACACAAAACTCTCCTCTCTTGCTTTCCCCTCTTCTGTGTTCTTAAAACTCAGGAAGATTTAAATATAAAATCATAGATTTTTGGACCTGGAAATGATCTTTCAAGTTACCAAGTCCAAAGTTACTGTTTTACATATTAATTTAAGAAAAACTGGTAGAGAGGTGACCTGTCCAATGTCACTAACAAGTGACATGGCTGGGGGAGGGGGTTATGAAGTTGGTTTTCTTATCAAAGATGAGAGCTGGATTCTTTGAAGTGTCTCCGAGAGTTAAAATTCTACAGAGAATATATTTTTCACAAAAGTATCACAAAAAGGATATTTAACATTTATAACTATCAACATGTGATCAGTCACAAAATTCTTATAAATGGTACAAAGTATATTACATTTTAAAATGTGGAAGGGCTTCAGAACCTAAGTATAGCAGAAATTCTACATAAAGCTGAGGTGAGTAGAGGAGAAATAGAACATCTTGAAAGATGCATCCAGTCAGGCTCTCTTAACTACTTTGTTCCTGCATTTTAGAGAGTATGATTTGCCAGGTAATAGATTTTAATCATGGCTTTGACAACAAAAAGTTTTGTGTTATTTGTACACAGGGATAGTAGAGAGCAATGGCTCATAACACAATCAGAATATTACGCTCACAAAAATAACCATATGGTCATGGTTTTGCTTTTGGCACATTTCTGGAAATACAGAATAAAACTCTAGGGATGGTTAGGATTTTTACCAACATGTGGTAAATGAAAATTGCATTAATATAAATGAAAAAAGTTAACAATTAAGAGAACACCAATAGCTAACCATATTTATTTAAACTGTTCATCTAGTGACAGCAAGATAATATATATTGCCAATTCAAAGTAAAAAAGGGAATCAACTGTTGATACACACGACATAAATGAATCCAATGGCATTCTGTGTGGTGAAAAAAATCATCTCACAAGGGTATATACTACAAGATCCCCTCATGTCATTCCAGAAAAGGAAAATGATAGCAATAGCAACTGTTACCAGGATTTAAAGATAGGTGGGGGAGTTGATTACAAAGGGGCATCATAATGGAGTTTTTAGGGATGATGGAATGTTCTGTATCCTGATTGCAGTGGTGGTTGAACAAAATCTACATGTGTTAAAATTCATGAAAATGTAGACCAAAAACAAATGTCAGTGTTAGTTTATGTTAGCTAAAAAATTTAAAAATAAAATGAATTTAAGAGAGGAAACAGTAGAGTACCTTTAGTAAAGTTGCAATTTCTAAAAGAAAATTTTCAGAGGGGCGCCTGGGTGGCTCATTGCGTTAGGCCTCTGCCTTCTGCTCGGGTCATGATCTCAGGGTCCTGGGATCAAGCCCCACATCAGGCTCTCTGCTCAGCGGGGAGCCTGCTTCCCCGCCCCCCCCACCTACTTGTGATTTCTCTCTCTGTCAAATAAATAAATAAAATCTTTAAAAAGAGAAGAAAGGGACGCCTGGGTGGCTCAGTTGGTTGGACGACTGCCTTCGGCTCAGGTCATGACCCCGGAGTCCCGGGATCGAGTCCGGCATCGGGCTCCCAGCTCCACGGGGAGTCTGCTTCTCTCTCTGACCTTCTCCTCGCTCATGCTCTCTCTCACTGTCTCTCTCTCAAATAAATAAATAAAATATTTAAAAAAATAAAAAAAATAAAAAGAGAAGAAAATTTTCAGAGCTTCCTGCCAATGGTATAATTTTATTGGTCATAAAATTATTAAATATAACTGTATGAAATAAAATCAAGAAACTTGGGCTTGATTAATCATTTCTAAAATATGTATACTAACAAATCATGGAAACATTATTTTAAGGAATTTTAGCCCATGTCCAAGGAAATTCTACTACTCCCAAGTGAATCTGAAGTGTGTTCCCTTACAGTTTAAAACAAGTACCTTGGTGCTTTGCTTCAGAATCCAACCAGTTTGTTTAAAAAAATTTTTTTTCACTAGTCCTATAAAGAATTAATAATGGATTACAGCATGTTTTGAAGTCTATTTTCTCTTCCTATTAACCTAATTGATTAAAATTATTATGTGGTTGGGATTTTACATGTACATCATTTATCTAGAGAGTCAAAATCAGAATTTAGAAATACTGCTGGATTCTCTGTCACAAGAATCAGGAATATTTAAGAGTGAAACATTATTTCTCTAGATATACCACTGGGACTTACATATACTGTACGAGGTAAGACAGCATCCCATTAGCTTTATCATGTCTCCCACACATTGGAACTGCTAGTAGAAGTTCAGAAAGAGTAACGTGTAGGCAGACCAAAATTAAGACCCAAAGATGGGGGGGGCACAGGGGATGCAATATAACATATGCTGCATTTCTGTAGAAAAACTCGCCTAACTATGATATAAGGCTTATATAGCAAGGTGTGGTTCTAATTACAGCAAATTTTGCCTTTTGAGATCATGCCTGGGTAGTTTTTCACTACTGCTTCTGCCATGCACAGAGGTTAAGTGCTTTTTGAGGGCAGATTTGTGCTTGAAATCCATGTCACAACAGTGACATTTGTATGGGCGATCTCCACTGTGTATATTCAAGTGGTCCTGAAGTGTGCTTTTAGCAGTAAATGTCTTCAAGCACACAGTACACTGAAAGGGCCGTATGCCCATGTGCCCTCGAATATGCCGGTTGAGATTTTTCTTCTGCGTAAATGTTTTCCCGCACTGTAGGCACAAGAAGAGCTTGTGCATCTTCAGGTGGCGCAGATAGTTTTCAACGTGAAGAAATCCTCGAGGACACCTGGGGCACTGGTGCCTCAGTGAATAAGCATCCTCCAGATTCTGAATCTCACTCACTGTACCATGATTTCCTTCAGTATTCTCACAAAATAAGCTCTGATCTTGATTCCCAGGAACTTCTGCCACTCTGCTCTCAACTGTAGAATTGATCAGTGAATGCTGTGTTTCAGAGAAATACATGCTTGCTTTTGAAGAAGTACAAGGCTGTGAAAACTGCCCATTTTCTACACTGGCAGTACTAATAGATTCCACGTGGAGGATACAAATTTCATTATCTTTAAAACCAATGTCTACTGAAGATAGCTCTGGTGACTTCACTTCCTTTCTCTCTGATGTCAACTCTACTGTAGACTGCAAAACATTGCTTTCCTCTTCTTTTACGTGAAAATCTATGTTTATAGGACTATCTTCTGAAATTTCTATAATCTCACAGTCTTTATCTGAGTTTTCTTCTTCATTCTTAACATCCAGATCAGAGGATTGACACAGGTCAGTATGTTGATTATTTTTCATAGAAAGATCAATTTCCAGATACTTTGACAAAGCTTCTGTGCACTTTTCCACAATGTGAACCATCTGCAGGTAACTAGCAGCAGTCAAATATTTCAAAAGCTCTTTCCTTTTAACTTCAAGTGCTCCAGTATAGCATGAGAGCAACAGTTTTCTGCCAACTTCTGCACTCTGCAGGATGGTGATTCTGACATGTTTTGACTGCGTGAGTAAAAACTGATCTCTCATGAAAGTGGAGCAAGCAGCTAAAATCACCTTGTGGCCCTGGAACTCGGTGTCATTGATATAAATGGACACATCACAAAATAAATTCTGCTGTCTCAAGAGATTCATTTTCTGCAAGACTACATCTCCTTGCTGTTCAAACTGGAAGTGCAGAACATCAGATTCAGCAGCCATGGTCACAATCTATGCAAAAGAAAACACAAATGTTGATGTAAAGATAGGGAATGCTCTCCTACACTGTGATGGTAAAAAAGAAGAAAAAAATCCCACACCTGAATTGGGTAAAAGAAGATTCAAATTCTAATCTAGGTGCAAAGAGTGAACTCCTACGCCACCATTGCAAAACCGAAAAAATGAAAACACATTTCTTTATCTCATGGTCTGTTTTTCGTAATTTTGTTACAGCACCTATTACACTGAGTTGTACTTAATGGTTTCTGTTTTTCTCCTTGGCTAAATTTTAGCCGTTTTGTGGTCCAAGACGCTGCTAATGTCCACTAGTAAAGGGACTTAACGTAGTTTCTCACATTAGAAACCCGAATGTAATGTCCAAATTTCCTATTCTGCATCACTGCTGCAGGTCCTCCTTCTGTTCCCTTCGACCTTTGCAAGGTCTTCCAACAGGTCTCCTTTATCCCATTCTCCCATATTCCAACCTACCCTCTTGAGTGCCACCAGAACCAACACCTCTTAAAACTTTAAAAAAAAAATTCTCTTTTCTACTTTATTTTTTAAAGTCTTTTTATTTATTTCAAAGAGGGAGAGGGAGAGAGAGAGAGAGAGAGAGCGAGAGCGCTAGCAAGAGTGAACACGAGTGGGGGGAGGGGGTAGAGGAAGAGGGAGAAGCAGACCTCTTGCTGAGCAAGGAGCCCAATGTGGGACTCCATCCCAGGCCCTGATATCATGACTTGAGCTGAAGGCAGATGCTTAAGCAACTGAGTCACCCAGGGGTCCCTCTCTTCTACTTTAAATCCTCCATTGCTCTCCTCTACCTCCAGGACAGCCTACCCTTCTTAGCAAATACAAGATCCTTCATTATTTGGTCCTAGCCATCTTTAAGGCTTTATCTTTCCTCAATATATTCTCTTTTTTATCAAAGCTCCTTCGATATTGAGATTTTCACCACTGCCCAGACAAGAAGACCAAACACACGTTTGCACGTTTCCATTAAAACCCTCTTTCAGCCAGTAATTTGGCTCCTTTAAGACCCAAATCAGTTAGGACTTCTGTGACTTCTCCTATCTACCCAACAGACAGTGAGTTGCTCCCAGAGCACCACGAAAAGGGGCCTGCTTCATCTGAGTTTCTGCCCCGAGCACAGGGGCCAGCGCAGAGCACGCACAGCGGAGGGGAACATCTGTTGAACTGAACGGGACCCAAGGTGGCCTGGAAGATCCTGCAGCTCGCCATACACAGGTCTTCCCGAGCTAAGCCTCCCAGGACCACAGGCCCCGTCTGCCAAGTGGTTGCAGCACCAGCGCAGCCTCCCTGCCCGAGCCTGGCTGCCTTCTTCCTCCTCCTCTTCCGGCTTCCCACCCTGCCGGTCTCCAACGCGCTCACTCACCGACTCAGAGAGCCAGAGCTCAGCTTCCCGCAGCAGCGGCGGCCCAGGCCGGAAGGTGGACTTCGCTTGGGAGGAAACACATCCGGTGTCAACTAGCTTTACTCCTCTCTGGGGTGGGCTGGGCGTCCCGGAAGGACATGCACAGACATTCTCCCTTCCTCATCCCCTCCCCCACCACCGCCCAGCTCCTAGAATGGCAGAGAGGCCCCCGTGTTCCGGCAAATCCCATCTCTCCTGCCCCAGTTTCGGCGAGCGGGCCTTTCCCTTCGTGAGTTCTCTCCAGTGTCCGTATCGCAGACGGGTTGTGAGGCTGAAGTACAGCGCGTCTATCGGAACACCCTGAATGGGATCACTGGGAGGCCCTCATGGTTGTCACGGGCCGGGTTCTCTCCTCTCTGGGCCATCTACAACTTAAAATGTGACAGAGGAAAGGAGACCGCCATAAAAATCGGCATTCGAGATTGCCTAATGACCATCAGGATCTGGCCCCCTACCTCTGGATCTTCACTCATCCATCGCGATGTCACCGTCCCCCGACCCCCTCCCCACACGCCAGTTCTAGGCAAACCCAGACCTTCTATCTGCTCTTTGGGACTGTCTCTTCCCACGTGCCCTATCTCTCCCCCCACTTATCCTTCAGAATCTCGTTCATAAATCACGTCGTCCATGAAGCCATTCTGAATGGCCCTTGAATTAGTGGGCTCCCAGTTGGGAGCCTGTGAGCCCTTTGGCTGCCTTCATTATTGTTACCATACCTGTACTGAAATCTGTGACCCATCTGGGCTGAGGTATTTCGGACAGTGATTTACAATCTTTGCATCCCCGAAGTCTAGCCTGGAGTAGACATTAAGTATTTCCTAAATGAAGGAATGTCTGAACTAGTTCTTAAAAGGAGTAGCTCTACCCCCTCAGTTAACAGGTTCTCCTGGAAGTAAGACCCTACTAACAATTTCTAGTTAACCAGATTTCCTTCAGAAGCCATGCTCAGAGCGCTTGATTAATATGTGTTTTAAACAGTAGGAGTGAAGAAAGCATTCCTTATTCAAATTTAGGCGACTGAAAAGGAAAGCAGGAGGGATAGAGAAAAGAAACCACTGACACCAGAGATTTAATTGTCACACTTTTATTAAGGAAACTTCCCCATAATAAGTGAAGAGGTAGTTCATAGTATGTCTAACATACAACAGATTTAGAACAGCTATTCACCAGCTGAAATAAAATATTCTGGTTTGTTTGTTTAGGACAATATTTTAGAAGTGGTGACATTGGTCACCCTCCATTTATAGATCTTCTAATAAAGAAACTAAAACAAAACCACATCTGATTTACCTCAGAGCCACTTCAGTTTGGAGTTTGTCTTTAAAATTAAATAATAAATAAATAACGGTGACACACGGTAATTTTTTAAAAACCAAACTATGGTAAAGAGAGTTCTTTTTAGTTAGCCTAGGGATCCATAAAATACAAATGCAGAATGACTTAAAGTTTTAAAAAAATCTTTCTCCTCTATAAGAATATGTCTAGTTTTGAAAATCATCTTCCCTTATAAAATGTATTTGATGTCAGTTAACTTGACCACTTTGCAATACAATCTAAGAAACATGTATAAACAAAGGAGAAAAGTCAAGTCCCACCAAAATTAAGAAAATGTCTCACAGAAACAGAACACCTCTCCAGCCAAGAAATGGAGGAGACTGTAAATCACTTTAGTGGTTTGCAGTTGCAAAAGGTGGGAACTAGAAGTTTTACTGATAAAAAATCATCAAGATGCTGATTTTAAGTAATCAAAGGAAGCAAGGCATTTTCTTTATTATTCCTAGTTTAAATCACTTTATCTAAGACCACACGAGACCGTTTGAGACCATAAGCTCTGTGATGGCAGGGACCGTTAGCAATCTTACCTTCATATCCTCAGTATCTAGCATAGTACCTGGCAACAAATGTGCCCAATAAATGTTTCTCAACTACTGAATGAACCTAGAAATAGTCTCCAACCAAAGAGACCAATCTTACTTGAACCCATGCCTTTTAGTCTTCAAACCAATAACAAAAATGGGATATGAATGTAAGCAAAGAAAGCACTCCAACTTGAAATTTCCCTATGGTGAAATGATGTTCAGAAAAACATCGGCTAACATATTAATGTCTCATCGTTGCATAGACTTGGTACTCTTTGGCTGGATCATATAAAAATCAGAATGCTAGGTAGCATCATTAGACCATAAAAATGAGTGACCTTAGGCATAAGATACCTATTGGTCTTATCACTCAATTTTATTCTCATTTTAAGTGTTTTAACAAAAGTTTGAAATTATAACTCAAATCAGATTCACATGTAAATGCATTAAATTATAACAACTTTAAGAATTCCCTGTGACGATTCAAGTTAAACTTCAGTTTTGGTTTATCTGTACATGATTCTCATAGCTCAAAAATAAAAACAGAAAATCCTGATGGAAATTAAACAAACATTGCTTCCAGACAAAAATCAGTTTCATATTTTGATCCTTCTCACATTATTCTTACTCATCCTTTCCCTCCCTGACCACCACCTACCAAGTCAGTCAATTTCTTGAGAAGAATGTAATATTCACTCTAACCCTCCCCCCCACCAAAAAAAAACACAAAAACACATCCTTCCTGTGATGTTTTGTTTGCAAATTCCGGGCTGTCTCAAAAAGCCAACAGGGATTCCCAAAAGTGAAGCACAAACTGGGAGCTTTTTGCTAATATACTCTTGATCATGTACTGTATCTTTTTAAGCCAAGAGCTAGTGAGAAATAAGAAGACATTAGCTCATTCTTAGTCACTTCTCTACTTCGGCCAATCTTGGCCAGGCCACCTCTTTGAGCTTTGGATACCCCAACTTAAAAAATAAAAGAGGTGGAGTATACGATTTCTTAAGATTCTCTAAGTACTCTAAGATTCCTATTACCTAAATCTAACTGATGAGTCAAAAGCTACTAAGTCTCAAAATTTTATTTCTGAACTATAACATGTGCTTCAGGAAAAACACAGTTGTGTTCTTGGGGAAAAAAATTGTGTTTTTCCATATTGGAAGATCAATTTTGTATTAGTGATCTATCAAACATGGCAAGGTGGGACTGTGTACCTTTATAGGAATATCTGAATGCAAAAATCTGATTGCTCCTCTGTGATCCACTTTTTTCATCCATTTTAGAAACTAGTGTACAGGAAGAAATGAGAATTCAGAGATTACACCAGACAAAACTGTGAAGGCCAAACTCACCTTTCTGATGGCTAGCCCTCTAAAACAAAGTCCGGAGATGGACCCCCAAATAGCCCCTTTTTAGAGAGACCATTATACTTGAGCACATTTTAAGTGTGCCTGGAGCAATCCTGACTTCAAAAGCATCCACAAGTAAATTACATGTTAATTATAAGCATTTGGCTTCTTTCTGGGAAGACCACCTATGTAAGTGCTATTATACAATTGTACTTCTATCCTTTGTTAATTATGCTCCTCATGCTGATCCCTAACTGTCTGTAGGTGTTGCTGAAAAAACTCTACTCTGGTCTATGTGAACCACTCAGTGACATGAAGTTGGGCCATAATACCGTTGAAGAGTACAGAACAACCCAAAATACTTCATAGGCAGCTGCAAGACAAGTACAAATGGTAGGAGGCAGATTCATTATCAGTAGGCAATTAACAGTAGGCAACCAGAAGTTCTATCACATATTCAGGCCAAGAGCAGTATCACCTTGTATCTTAGCCTATTTTTTTGCCAAAGAAAAATACTACTCACTTCTCTTAGCATAGCATCTATTAGTGGACTGTAGGTGATGTTATTAACTTATTGGTACCTTCAGAATGTGCCCAGTGAAAAGCCTAAAATAGTGTCAGTCTAAGACCAAAGTCAATGTTAGGTAGACAAATGGAATACTCCTTGGGAAAGGAAAATAGACAACACGGGATAAATAATTCAAAACACAAAATGGAAGAGGGCAAAAGGAAGGCAAGACCACTCCAAGTGGTAAGTTGCCTGGTCTGTTAGTGCTTTGACTCACCCCTACAACCCGCACAGAGGATTTGGAGAAGTCAGACTATCAAAATCACTCCTAAAAAGACTCGAGACTATTGCCACATTTTCAGTCCATTCTAAGTTGTGAGCATAAAGCCCTTAATCAATTCACACAAGCACTATCATTTCTTAAGTTCAAGACAGCTTGGGCCAGTTTACCTGCATCCAGGACCTGTGTTGCATCAGGCTGTGGCTGACACCCTTTAGAGTCTGTGACTGTTGTACATGCAAAAGAATCAAAATCCACTGTGAGGTCTTGCACATTTCTTTCATTGGCATTATCAAAGCTGTTTTTGCCATGCAGCTGTTTAAGATGTTTCCTCAAAACTGGCTTATGTGCAAAAACCATGTCACAATAGTTACACTTATGGGGCTTATCTCCACTGTGAAGGTTAAGATGATCCTGTAAGGAACACTTCTGAGAAAAGGTTTTCCCACAGATCTTACACTGGAAAGGTTTAATGCCGGCATGCACACGCATGTGTCGATGAAGGTTGCCTTTCTGAGTAAAAGTCTTGCCGCAGAGTAGACACATAAAGAGTTTGTGCATTTTTAAATGGTTGGCGTAGTTCTCCAGGTGACGAAACACCCTGGTACACTTTGGACACTGGTGATGCCACTGTAGGCCTTTGTCTACACCTCGAATATTAGGCCCAAAGACATCTTTTGAGGCCATGATGATATTATCACTGCCTGCGTAAGAGAGGGCATAATTGTGGAGATGGTTTTGTTCTATTTCACTTACTCTGTTTTCCACAGTTGAATTTATCAGGGAATGCTGGGGCTCTGATGAATGTAAAGCAGTGGGTTCAGAAGAAATAAACTGGTTCTGATCTTTTTTATTTCTAACCTCGGATACATCCCCAATAGATTCTACCTTAACAATCTGAATATCACTGTCCTCCATATCCATACTGTCTTCAGATGGATGAACACAAGGTGAATCCTGCTTTGGGGAGCCTCTGGCATCTCCCTGCTGTTCTTTTGACTGGGGAGAAGCACTCTGCGGTTCACATCCCTCTTTACTATCCATTGGTTGTTTTGGCTTTATAAACTTCCACAAGGCCTGCGTGCACCGCTCTACAATGTGGCTCATCTGAAGAAAACTTGCCGCAGTCAAGTAATTGACCAGTTCCATCTCAGGGAATTCCAGCACACCACTATAACAGGATAAGAGCAATTGTCTCCCCACTTCGGAACTCTGCAATATGGAGATTTTCACCTCTCTGGAATCATTCAGTAAAAACTGGTCTCTTAGGAAGGGGGAACCTGCAGCAAACACAATTTTATGCCCCTGTACCTCAATATCATCTATGAGAACTGTAACATCACAAAATTTATTCTCTTCTCTTAATTTGTTCATTTTTTGTAACATTGAATCTCCATAATTTTCAAACTTGAAGTGAAGGAGATCTGATCTTTCAGACATTTTGGCAGACCTAAAGAACAGAAATGTAAAAAGGATGAATTTAAGAAAATTCAAACAATTAAGAAACCTGGATTTTTCCTTCCAAAAACAAATCTGTGTTGACATATCTCTTTGTATGTATCCAAATGAAATTTTCCTTGAAAGAGGAAGCTAGTGTGACAGCTTTCAAAGGCTGTGAAAAATTATTCCATATCAAGTATCAATTGCACCTAAGGAGTAGACTTGTATCACTGTAAATAATTTGGCATCCATTCAACTTCTTAAGATACTTAATACAAGAACAGTGCTTGCTCTAAGAGCATTTTTTCTACTCCTCAAATGAGAATTCTATAGGGTTTCAAAAACATACTAAAAACATCCCAGCAAGTAGTAAAGTAACGATTTTTTTTTTTTTTTGCATGATACTGTGAACCTGCTTCTTCAAAGGCAAAAAAGAAGAATCTCCCTTTGCTTTCTACTTTAAAGATCTGTAGTGACCTTGCTTGCCCCATTCCTGGGTAAACACTCTTCTATTTAAACTGATGTGCATTTATTCAGACAAGCATTTCTGCAATAAACTGAACGTAACAGACTTAAAGGGACAATGTTTAGACAGTGCCAAAGTACAAGTCTTTATCCTGTGCATTTTGGACAAATCTAAATTCTCAAGCAGGATTTCTTGATATAGAAAGTAAATGAAATACTTTATATAGAAAAACCAGATGAGCCACTTGGTGGGAATCTGAGCAGGAATAAAGTCAATCAAATTAATAGCTTATAGATTCTGTTTTTTTCTTCTTAAGTCCTCTTTATCCATCATTACTCATCAACTGGACTACTAGAACAGGATCATAAATGCTTCTTGGGTTCCAGCTTCTATTTCTTCTAATACAACCTCTACACCACATGTTAACTTTCAAAAACACTGGATCTGACTGGATCCAACCCTGCCTAAAATCCTTCTGTGACTTCCCATTGTCTCCTGGATGAAGACTAACCTTGGAGTATAAATTGATGAAGTAAACCCAATAATAATTAATTAAGGTAAATAATTATAATTAAGGTAAACATTGGGATAACCATTCAACCACGGATAAGGTGTCTGCCAAACTCTTTGCCTATCTGTCCCTTATATCGCAATTCCTCTGAAGAAAGTTTCTATGTTCTGATTCTATACTCCCTAAATGATTTTCTGATAATTTGGCTTCCCATGTTTCTCTCCAAAGGGAAGGATGAAATGGCTATGTGAACATGATAATTCCAGTCCACCAGTCATTGTAAAAATAATAAACTGACACTCTGTTTCTACACCAGTCTTCTGTGAGTGACATCAGTAGGTATATCAGCTCTATCCTTGAAAAACAGCTCTACGATCTTAGAGCATCAATAAATTCACCTTGAACTTTGTGCATTCATCAACTCCATAGTTGAGAGTCACAAGAGACAATCAGCTGTAATTGATCAAATATAGATCCTGAAGATTAATCTTTATAATCTTATCTTCTATAACAGTGACTTACCAAGGCTCATAAAACCCAGCTCCTGAAGCAGAGTCCAGGTCTTACAGTGCTCAGTGCCTGGTGCATGACAGCACTCTATTGACTCCAGGCCTTAGCTCAGTTATTTTTTTTCTTTCTTTCTTTCTCCCTCTCCTCCTCTCCTCTCCCCTCCCCCGCTTCCTCCCTCTCTTTCTTTCTTTTCTTTCTCTCTCTCTTTCTTCTTTTTAAGATTTTATTTCTTGGAGGGGGGGGGAGAGAGAGAGAGATCACAGAGGGGGTAGGGAGAAGCAGACTGGCCGCTGAGTGGAGTGCCCAATGTAGGGCTTGATCCCAGGACCCTGAGATCATGACCTGAGCTGAAGGTGGACACAACGAAATAAGCCACCCAAGCACCCCAGCACAGTTACTTCTTTAGTTTAGAATACTACTCCTAGTTATTTCTGACTGACTTTCTTTTCCTTCCTTCCTTCCTTCCTGCCTTCCTTCCTTCCAAGTAATCTCCACACCAAATGCAGGGCTCATACTCATGACCCCAACAGCAAGAGTGCGATACTCTCAACTGAGCCAGTCAGGTGCCCCATCATTCCTTTATTTCTTGAGATGCCCCTACCTAATGTCTTAGACTGGAACAGTTGTCTCTACTGGACCCATAGTATAGCACCTCTACAATAACACTCAGAATACTTTATTAAGTACTTGTTCCTTCTCCTCCAAACTGCAAGCTTCATGACATTAGAGGGAAACATCTTCACCTTACTCAATGAGTCTGATGCTGGAAACCTGCATCTTCTACGGCAAAACACTTCCCTTTTGCTTCAAATTCTACTTACTGCAGCCACATTACCGGCCGGACCCTCTTCTGTTCAAACTGCTGTATCTTCCCCTAACCTAATATTGTACTAAACACACAGGAGGTGCTCAGTTTGTGTTTATTGGACCTATAGAATTTGACAGTGGAAGGAAGAAAGAACTGCTATTGAAGATCTGTAAAAGCATTACAAGTCTGAGGCCCTGAGAGCCTAGAAAGGAATGAAAATGGGAATACCGAGTAAGGAAAAATAATAAAATATTTTGAAGAACTTGGTAATTGACTAGATACAGAAAATGAGAGAAAAAAAAAAAAGGAATGTGTAAAGATTCCAAACTTAAGAGTTCAGCAGAATGGAACTGTCATTGGAAGAAAGGTGAAATGTAGGAAGGAGAACTGGCATGGTTTATTAACAAAAACAGACATACAGAAATTATAAAGCTTTTCCTTTGTATGGCATTCTGAATGCACAGGTAATGAATAATCACAATAAAGATGAGAAAGGAAGAACATACAGAAGCAAATGCTGTATGAGAGAAAAGATGGTGAATATCAAATAAAAAGGAAAAATCTAGGAGATAAAAGAAACATTAATAAAGAAAGCAGCAAAATTATATAATCACTGGTTAGTTTGAGCAATTACAGTGGCCTCATACATTCATTCTGGCAACAGTGAATGCCCAAATTTATAACCATAAGTTATAAAATTGCCTGTTGCTTCAAGTGGCCAACAAAAGGGACATTCTATTTTTAGAGTTTAGCTTGTCCTGAGTCTACCCTCAGGTCAGTATTTTCTGACACACACCCAACAATGATCATTAACGCCTTCCATCTACAGGATGATAATACTCAGAGTGCATTACACAACTATTCTCAAGGGTAATTGTTCCTTGGAGCTTCAAAGATGAGGAGCTGGAGTACTTCTATCAGTCTCAAGAAACTTAACAGCAGGAACAACCCAATAGGTATGTACCCCAGGAAAGTGCTTGCTTTGATTTCTCTGCTACAGTCCAAGAATGTGAGGAAAATTTGTTCTGTTTAAGAAGTTTTGCCTAGTATGTGTCAATATACTCACTGGCTGCCTTTGATAAACTCTTATTTCTGGACCACACAGTTTATCCCTTTAATTGATTCCTGCCACTAGTTTCTCTTTTCAATACAATATTAGTTATTTGAGGGCAAGGACCAAGTGTTACTTTATACACAACTCATTCAACAAAACCAGCAGAATAATTAACTCTTTAATGTCCCCTGTAAAATTATTATTGTGCTATGGTAGAGAGGCCCTTCATTATCATCATATTCTCTTTTGAGTGTCCTGGGAGAAAATTCCTTTCTAGCGTTTGTTACCAAAATAGTTTTGACAATGTACACCCAAATTTTAAACATTTTTTTTTTTTACTTTAAAAAAATGTTAAAATGAAAAGGAATAACTGTGTTTCTTATAAACCGGTTTAATGAAAGAAAAAGGACAGCCAATCTTTACTGAATCCTTGCTAGGTCCAAGGTAAAGTGCTAAATGCTTTACCTAAATTGACCCACCTAATCCTCAAAATCTCTAGGAGGTAGGTATTATTAGCATCCCCATTTTGCATATGAAGAAGCCCAATCTTGGAGGATATAAATAACTTACTCAACTTATGAGAGGTGGAAAATATTAAGTGTTAGAACTGGAACTTGGGCCCAAGCTACGTGATGCTAAAGTCCATGTATGAAACAAGACTAGCTGAAGTTCTACCCCATGAATAATGTTAACTATGTAACTGTTCAGACCTCCCTCCTCATATCCATTCGACTGTACATTTAATGATTTTCATACTTTTGTGTATTGACTTATGCTTCAACAAAAGGTTTATGTTTAAAAACAGAGTAGGATGTAAGGCCAAATTTGTGTCAAGTCTAGAGGACTTTAACAGTAAGCCTTTTATGTACTAGTCATATTCTTTTTTTTTCTTTTAAAGATTTTATTTATTTATTTGACACACAGAGAGAGATCACAAGCAGGCAGAAAGGCAGGCAGAGAGAGGGAAGCAGGCTCCCCGCTGAGCAGAGAGCCCGATGCGGGGCTCAATCCCAGGACCCCGGGATCATGACCCGAGCCGAAGGCAGAGGCTTACTAGTTGTATTCTTCATTGCAATTATTCCCTTATCCTTGTTTTATCTTCATTTCTCACCTATTTTCACTTTGTTATTTTTCAATCTTTTGTGTATTCATATTTGTATGCTAAGTCTGAATGCCATTTGCAAATAACCATAATTCTAAGTACAGCAGCAGTTATTCATAGGTTTCATAAAAATCACTCACATAATTCTAGATTATAAGAGAGCTTTGAGTAACTCAAAAGTAAAGAACTTAATCAGGTAGAATAGAGACTTGGTCACCACATTCTGTTGATCCCTCAGAATGACTTCCAAATTCTCTCTCTTTATTCTGTCTGTCTTTGCCATGGTTCAAGCCCTTATCATCTATTGCCTAGATGACTACAATTAAAGCTGAATACTGCCAAGTTTCTTTTAGCAACTTTTTTTTTAAAGATTTTATTTATTTGAGAGAGAGCAAGAGTGAGCATGAGCAAGGGGATGAAAGGGTTTTTATATAAATTCTTTGATTTCATACTTTTTTAAAAAAGATTTTATTTGAGAGAGAGAGCAGAGCAAGAGAGAGAGAGAGTGCATGAATGGGGTTGGAGGACCAGAGTGAGGAGAAGCTGACATGGGGCTCGACCCCTGGACACTGGGATTGTGATCTGAGCTGGCAAACTCCCAACTGAGCCACCCAGGTGCCCTGATTTCACACTTGTATCTTTTCCTTTTTTAATTATTTTTTTTTAAAGATTTTATTTATTTATTTGACAAAGAGAGATCACAAGTAGGCAGAGAGGCAGGCAGAGAGAGAGGGAGAAGCAGGCTCTCCACTGAGCGGGGAGCCCAACAGGGGGCTCCATCCCAGGACTCTGGGATCATGACCAGAGCTGAAGGCAGAAGTTTAAAGGACTGAGCCAGGGTGCCCCTATTAGCAAGCTGTGAATGACCTATTTATCAAACATTGGTGTAATAGGAATATTTTCACTTAAGACCCCTTTCTCTTTGTTATATTTATACAGTTCTTTCATAATTATCTCCGTAACAAATGTGCCAACTAATCTGAAAATTCCCCTTGTTCAAACAGGAGTAGCCAAAAAGGATCAGTGGATGTTCTAAGTTGGACAATGTTTACTGCTCTGCTACAGGTAGTGAGAAAATATCAAAGTTTCTTTTTCAAATACCTCTAATTATAAGGAAAAATTTTCTATTCCACATAATAAATTCCCAAGCTATACGTCAGTCTTATTTTGTGATCTACCTCATAGAAGTAACCTTATCTTTCAAACTAGCACTCATAATACCTGGAAATTTTTGTTTCTCACTAACACCATACTCCATTTTTCAAAAAGGTTGCATTACATCACAATCTTTCTCTTTATAAACCTCAATCTCTTTCTTCATTTGGGTAACCTTCATGACACTACATTGTCCAAGTTATCAATCTTTTGTTTTGTTTTTACTTTTAACTATAAGTCTAAAGTTCTCTTTCCCAACCATCTTCCACTTACTACTGGAAAAGTTTGGTACTTTTTGATTCTCCTTCCTTCCACTTGAAAAACAGTACTTCTATATGCCTAGCCCCAGAAAATATAAGCTATGTTTCTTACACATAAACTCTACATGTTGTTTGGAAACTTTTTTTTTTCATTTATTGTTTCGATAGCTATATATGTTGAATACAGATCTAGTTCATTCTTTCAAACTGTTGTACAGAAATGGTCAAGTTGCTTAACTACTGGCCTCAGCTTTTCATCATTCTTTTGCTTGTTTGCTCTTCAAGGATCCAATAAATTGTGTAAAGGTTAAGTATATCCTTCAAAGCTTAGTCCTTGATTTTTTGCTGTTTTTTTCAAGGCTTACTCCTCAGAAAGCCCATCTGGTTTCTCAATGTTTTATTTACATTCTCTATTTAAAAAAAAAAAAAATCCCTAAATCCCTATCCTTATGGCCAGCCTTAAACAAACTTAACTTTACCTCAGGTTACTCAACAGTACCTGCCCTAGGCTACTATTCTATCACTTGAGATGTGCGATACCTAAACTCCTTCACCGTCTGAAACTCAGTAAGTAAAACCTAAAAATTAATGGAGAATGGCTCTGAGAACAGTGGACATGAAGGCAAGGATACCTGTAGTATGCTATTAGTCTAACAGATCAAGATCGAAATAATGAGGGCTTGAATACTGACAACAATCATATGGATACAGAGAGGAAAACAGATTTGAGAGATATTTCAAAGAACTGATGGACTTGGTGACCAAGGTGGGGTTAAGAAAGGACAGTTTAAGATGACTCCAAGACCTCTGATTTGAATGACTGGATTAATGTGACACAGTGTCACTCATTAGCTAAGGAATATTGGAGGGGATGATCATCCATCTGGTCTTAAAATGATGAGCCAGAGAATCTTACATGACATGATGGGGAAGATTCATTAGCTAGCTGGATAGAGACTGAATTTAAAGAGACTTGATTATAGATAGTAAGTGATAGATAAAAGCATGGGATAAATTGACCTAATTGTGAAAGAAACTGACCTAAAGTGGCATTGATTGGAAGAGGATATAAGACAGAGAGAAATAAAAAACAAATATGTAATATAAACATACACCCATTACTTACCTTCTCAATTAGGATCTCCTTCCGAGCCTTCCATTTTTTAATCAATGAACCTATCTTTTCTTAAAATTTTCCCACTCCTTTCACTACCATATTCAGTCACTGCTTAATGCAGTGGATAAAACTATGGATTCTGGAGCTATACTTCCTAGAAGGACAATACTGCTCAACCCTTACTAGCTGTGTGACCCTGGGGCAAGTTACTTAACCCCTTCTGTGCTTCATTTTTCCCATCTGTCAAATGGTAATACGTCATAGTGTTGTTATGGGAAATTAAAAATTAAATTAATGTTTAAAAGAGCTTAGAACAGTATCTGGAATGTGCTTGATAAGCATTTGTTAGGTGAATAAACAAATAAAGCCTGCCAATTTTCTTTGTGAAACACTTCACATGTAGCCTTGTCTCATTCTCATTTAACACCAAACTAGTTGAGGTCTCCATTATTTCATAAATTACACCTCATCACTCTACTAAAATTGCTTTTTGAAAGGTCTCTAAAGATCTCTCTCTCTCTGTCTCTTTTTTTAAAATAATCTCTATGCCCAACATGGGGCTTGAACTCATGATCCCAAGATCAAAAGTTGCAAGCTCTACTGACTGAGCCAGCCAGGTGCCCCACTAATGATGTCTTACTACAGAAACACAATCTTTCCCCCCATTCCTCATTCCCCAAATGCTCTGCACAAATTGTCCCATTGGACCCTTCCCAAAATTCCCTTCTCTTGATTCTGGGTCTTCTTGGTTGCTGGAACCCTATACTTTTATACATTATCCCCTGCCTCTGTTTTTGCTATCCCACCAATTAATTCCTCTTTTTGCTTCATAAATGCAAGCATCCCCCCCCAAATATTCCCATCTTTCTCAATACTTCCTTCCTGATGCCAAATATTACCACAGCTTCCACTTCTATGCCAATGACTCAAACTTTTACCTCTAGCCACAACACTGAGGTTAAGCTGCAGATTTGCATTTCCAACTCTATACTGGACAGTTATATGTGGCTATTCCATTATACCTTTAATTCAACATGTCCAAAAAAATAAATTTGTAATTTACAAGTTTATGGTTTTATTGCTGATATTAGCATCAACATTCTCCAAATGCCAAAGGCCGAAAACCTAGGAAGCAGCTTTGTTACATCTTTCTCCCCCAGCATTCAATTTATTATGGAGTTATCATACCATTCACTTAAGCATACTTCCCTTCTTTCCAGTAACACTGTCATAACTCCATTTCAGGCTTCCTTAACTAGGCTAATTTCATTACTCCTTCAAACGAATTTCCAATAAGAGCACCTAGACATTAATTGAAGAGTCCGTATCAGCTTAGAGACATTTCTTTTCTATAAGCTGACTTCTAGAACAACATAGCTTTCTACAGTGCAAATCTGCCTATGTAAGTCTCCCACTTAAAACTCTTTTAAAACTACCCAACTCCTTTAGGATTAAACCTTTCACTATCTGGACCTCAGCCTACTTTCCCAGACACGTATCTCCTCCTACACACACGAGCCCCCTACTTTCTCCTCTTCACTCCTCAGTCATTCCTTCAAAGCTTTGCGAACTGTTCCTTCTGCTTGAAGAGCTCTTCTCCACTTTATCCTCTGCAAGAAGTGTAATTCAGACGTCACCTTCTTTCCTCAGCCTTCCCTGCAACTGCCCGTTGGGTAGTTCACACATATCTGCCTGATACATAAATCGCAGGAGCAATTATTTGTTTATATTTGGCTCCCAAACTTGACCCTGGAATACTGAAAGGGTATCTTAAGAAGCTCCAGTACCTAGCATAGCGCCAGTAATAGAAAAGATGCTGTGGCCAGCGGCCAATTTGGGGGAAACCCCGGCAAAAGGGTAACCTAGGTCAGCACGCATAGTGAATCCAGCGGGTTGGCACCGAGGCCTTGTCAGGGCCTCAACTCTTGCACTTCCTACAAGATGCCAGAATCAGGCGTCCAAGCCAACTGCTGGGCCCTCGGCTGGGGTCCCAGGAGGAGGTCCCTGGGGCATAGTTAGGCGCCTCATTCCAGAAGCCGGGAAGAAAAAGGGGCGGGGCACAGCGTGGGCCGGGCCAAGGCTTCCTTAAGTCCCACCGGGCCTAGGCCAGCTCCTCGCCCCCATCCCAGAGCGGGTCCCGGCCAATCCAGGGCCCCAAGGGGGCTCCCTCTTGAGAGACCCCGTACCCCTGCCCGGCGCTCCGGCCGCCTCCGCACTTACAGACCCGGGGGAAGGCCACCGTCTGGATCCGGCACCGCCAGGAGCTCCGGCCCCTCGGGGCTCCGGGAAGGGGGAGGGGCAGGGAACCCGAGCCAAAGGGGGACCCAACGGAACCGGAAGGGCAGCCCTCGCCGGACAAAACAACTTCCAGGTCCCTTGGTCCTCTCCACCAATCGGAAGACTCGGAGGGTGACGGGATCCCGGAGAGGGACCCTGCGCGCGGAGGAAAGGGGGCAGAGTATCCGAGAGTGGTGTTGCGAGAGTCTCGCCGTTGACCGGGAGCTGTGGCGGTTGTTTCGCGTTCCTGGCTCAGGTTCTGCGCGCTTCGCCGCTTTGGAGCCGCTCCTCTAGAGCTGGGCCTCCGCCGCCTGCTGCCGACGTGGGCTTGAAGGGCACCTCCGCACTTAAGCCTTGGTAAGCCCCTCCCGCCTAGGGATGTGGACTCGCGGAGCTGGGGCCCTGAAGGCAGAAGGTGGTGGACTCCTCCCAGCTTTTGGAAGTTGCTGTTTCCCAGAGATCTCTCTCATCCCGGTGGCTTCTGTTACTTGCAACGTGCTGGCCATTCACAAATCACTCTCGCCATCCGGAACTGGTCTCTTGAGCTCCAGGGCTGCTGCCCAGAAGACATCTCCAATTGGTTGTCCCAATCTTAATGTACCTTAATTATCTCAAGTTCGTATGCATTCCTGCTTCTTATGGCCTGCAGTCCTTGTATTGGTAAACGGCATCATCCACGCAGTCCTGCCAACCAGAAAACTTTATCATCGTTCTGGACTCCTTTTCCTTCTTGCCAATTCAGTAGCTCCCTGGGCTCTCCTTTTTTTTTTTTTTTTACCCCCCCCCCACCTTGGGGAGAGGGGTATTATTGTGGTAAAACAAAGTATAATTTTAATCATTTGTAAATGTGAAGTTCGGTGACATTAAGTACATTCGCACTGTTGTGTAATAGTCACCACAGCTGTACCCAACTTCATATTCTTTTGTACGTGGATATCGTTTTTCCAGCACCGGTTCTTGAAGACTGTTCTTTTACCCTTTGAATGGTCTTGGCACCTTTGACCATATATGTGACGGTTTATTTCTGAGCTCTCTGTCCTCTCACCTTTGAGGAAGCGTGAGTTCTTCAACTTCATGCTTTTGCAAGATTGTTTTGACCCTTTGAAGCTCCATATAAATTTGAAGATGACCTTTTACATATCAGAGAAAAAGGATGTTGTAATTTTGATCTTGTGTTGAATCTGTAGATCACTTTGGGATGGCATTGCTGTTTTAACAAGTTTAATAGACTTCCTGTGAATGCAGAACGTCTTTCCATGTATTGAGGTGTACATTAGTTTCAGCAATGTTGTCAGGCTTTCAGGGTATTTAATTCTTTTTGATAATATTGTAAATGGAATTGTTTCTTCATTTCCTTTTCATATTTTTTCATTGCTGGTGTGTAGAAACAGCAGGTTTTTGTGTGTTGGTGTTACACCCAGCAACATTACTGAATTTTTGTTTTGTTTTTGCTTCAGTAGCTTTTTTGTGGGTTCTTTGAGATTTTCTCTCCATATAATCATGTTGTCTGTGAATAGAGATAGTTTTACCTCTTCTTGTTCACAATTTGCTTTTTATTTCTCTTTCTTGTCTAATAATCTTGGCTAGAATTTCGAGTACAGTGTTTAATAGCAGCAGTGAAAGGAGACATCTTTAACTTGTTCCTGATCTTAGAGGGGTAGCTAAATTATTGAGTATGGTGTTCAGTGTGGGTTTTTAACAAATACCTTTATCATGTTGAGGAATTTTCCCTCTAAAATTAGTTTTATGAGGTTTTATTATGAAAAGCATTATAGTTTGTCAGATGCCTTTTCTGCATCCATTGAGATGATCCATGTTTTTCTTCTCTTGGTTTCATTAATGTGATATATTACATTGATTGATTTTATGTTGAACCACCCTGCATTCCTATGATAAATCCCACTTGGACATGGAGAATAATCCTTTTAATATGTTGTTGGATTTGATTAACTTAAATGTTGTTGAGGATTTTAGCATCTATATTCATAGGAAATACCAGTCTATAACTTACTTACGATGACTTTATCTGCCTTTAGTATCGGGATAATGAGGACCTCTTAGAATGAGTTAAGAAATATTTCCTCTTTAATTTTTTTGGAAGAATTTGAGGAGGATTGGTGTTAATCATTTAATGTTTAGTACATTTCGGGGCACCTGGGTGGCTCAGTGGATTAAGCAGCTGCCTTTGACTCAGGTCATGATCTCAGGGTCCTGGCATAGAGAACCACGCTAGACTCCCTGCTCTGAAGGGTGTCAGCATCTCCCTCTTCCTCTGCCTCTCCTCCTGTTCATGCTCTCTCTGTGTCTTTCTCTCTCAAATAAATAAATAAATAAATCTTTAATAAATAAATAAATGTTTGGTACATTTCACTGGTGGTCATCTGGGACAGGACTGTTCTTTCTTTTCTTTTTTTTTTTTTTTTTTTTTTTAAAGATTATTTATTTATTTGACAGAGAGAGAGAGAGAGAGATCACAAGCAGGCAGAGAGGAGGAAGCAGGCTCCCCGCTGAGCAGAGAGCCCGATGCGGGGCTCGATCCCAGGACCCCGAGATCATGACCCGAGCCGAAGGCAGAGGCTCAACCCACTGAGCCACCCAGGCGCCCCAGGACTGTTCTTTCTTGGGAGTTTTTGATTACTCACTCGATCTCTTGTTATATGTGTGCTGAGATTTTCTATTTCTTCTGAATCAGTTTAAATAGCTGGTGTGTTTCAAGGAATTTGTTTTCTAGGTTACTTAATTTGTTGGCTTACAGTTGTTCACAGCATTCTTTTATAATCCTTTTATTTCTAGAATGTCAGAAGTGATATCCACTTTCATTTCTGATTTTAGTTATTTCCTTAAAGATCTGTTGCTTTTGTTGTTTTTTTCAAAGAAACAGTTTTTGGTTTTATTGATTTTTCTCTTTTTTGTTCTCTAGTTTATTTCCACTCTCATCTGTTTTCTTTCTTTCCCTCTGCTAGCTTTGGGTTTATTTTCTAATTTTTCTTGTTTTAAGGTATAAAGTTAGGGTATTATTTTTGAGATCTTTCTTCTTTTTCAATGTAGCCATTTTCAGTTATAAATTTCCCTCTAATCAGTGCCTTCATTGCATCCTATCAGTTTTGGTATGTTGTGTCATCATTTTCATTTGTTTCTAACATATGGTCTAATTTCCCTTTTGATTTCTTCTTTGACCTATTGGTTGTTTAAAAGCATGTTGTGTAATTTACATTTATTTATGTTACTGATTTCTGACTTCATTCCATTATGGTTGGAGAAGATACACTGTCTGATACCTATCCTTTAAAATCTATTGAGGCTTGTTTTGTGGCCTAATTATATGGTCTGTCCAGGAAATATTCCATGTGAATGTAAAAAGAATGTGTATTCTGCTATTGTTGGGTGGACTTTTCTGTACATATCTGTTAGGCTTAGTTGGTTTAGCATGATCTTCCAAGTTCTCTGTTTCCTAACTTAACTTCTATCTGGTTGTTCTATTCATGATTGAAAGTGGAGTACTGAAGTTTCCAACTGTTATTGTAGAACTTTTTATTCTTCCCTTTACTTCTGGTCATTTTTTCTTTATATATTTTGAGGGTCTCTTACCAGGTATATTAATGTTTATAATTTTTTTTAAAGATTTTTTATTTGACAGAGAGACAGTGAAAGAGGGAATACAAGCAAGGGAAGCTGGAGAGGGAGAAGCAGGCTTCCCACCAAGCAGGAAGTCCAATATGGGGCTCGATCCCAGGACGATGTGGGACTTGATCCCAGGACCCTGGGATCATGACTTGAGCCGAAGGCAGACGCTTAATGACTGAGCCACCCAGGCACCCCAATGTTTATAATCTTTATATGATCTTGCTTCATTGAACCTTTTATTAATAAATAGCATCCTTCTTTGTCTCTTGTAACCAGTTTTTTGGATTTACAGTCTATTTTGTATGACGTTAGTATAATCACCCACTCTCTTAGATTACTATTTATATGGAACTTTTAAAGTTTTTTTTAAAGTAAGCTCTTGGACCAACACGGGAATCAAACTTACGACCCTGAGATAAAGAGTTGCATGCTATACTGACTAACGCCAGCAGGAGCCCCTGCAATAGCTTTTTTTTTTTTTTTTAAGATTTTATTTATTTATTTGATAGACTGAGATCACAAGTAGGCAGAGAAGCAGGCAGAGAGAGAGAGAGAGGAGGAAGCAGGCTCCCCGCTAAGCAATGAGCCTGACGTGGGGCTTGATCCCAAGACCCTGGGATCATGACCTGAGCCGATGGCAGAGGCTTTAACCCACTGAGCCACCCAGGCGCCCCCCCCCCCCCAGCAATAGCTTTTTAAAAATTCTTTCACTTTAAACCTATTTGTATCTTTGGGTCTAAAGTGAGTCTTTTCTATGGATGGTTGGAACTTTTCTTTTTTTAATCCATTTGCTCGTCTCTGTCTTTGATGGAAGAGTTTACACTATTTACATTTTAAGTAATTACTGCTGAGGATGGGTTTATTTCTGCCATTTTGCTATACCTTTTCTATAGGCCTTTGTGCCTTTCATTTCTTTTATTACTGTCCTTTTCTGTGTTTATTTTTTTTAGTGAAAAGTTTTAATTCACCTCTTATTTCCTTTTGCGAATATACTATAAATATTTTCTTTGTGGTTGTCATGGGAATTGCATTTAACACCAAAGAATTATAACAACCTAATTTAATTGATACCAACTTTAATAGCATACAAAACCTCTCGTATAGCTCTGCCCCTTCTTTCTGTTATTGATTTTACAGATTATGTCTTTATATACTCTGTGCCCAATAACATAGATTAATATCCTAATGCACTTGTCTTTTAAATCATAAAGGAAATAAAAAGGGGAGTTACAAACTGTAATTATAATAATACTTACTTTTATAATTCCCCACACATTTATCTTTACTAGAGATCTTTATTTCTTCATATGGCTTCAAGTTACCGTTGAGCATCCTTTCATTTCAACCTGAAGGATTGCCTATAGCACTTCTGATGGCCAGAATTATTGGCAAACTCCCTTAGCTTTTTAAAAATCAGATTATTTTAATTTCTTCCTCGTTTTTTTAAAAGATTTTTTTTTAAGATTTTTAAAAGAATTTATTTATTTGACAGACAGAGATCACAAGTAGGCAGAGAAGCAGGCAGAGAGGAGGAAGCAGGCTCCCTGCTGAGCAGAGAGCCAGATGTGGGGCTCGATCCCAGAACCCTGAGATCATGACCTGAGCCGGAGGCAGAGCCTTAACCCAGTGAGCCACCCAGGTGCGCTAAGCACAGTTTTGCCAGATACAGAATTCTTTATCGAGTTGTTTTTTTTTTTTTTTTTTCCTTTCAGCACATTGATTATTATGAACCTACTGCTTTCTGGCCTCCAAGGTTTAAGATGAGAATTTGGGTGATAATCTTATTGAGGCTCCTTTGTATGTGAAGAATCACTTCTCTTTTGCTGCTTTCAAGAGTCTCTCTTTTCTTTGGCTTTCTACAGTTTGATTTTTTTTTTTTTAAGATTTATTCATTTATCTTAGAGAAAGACAGTGTGCACGCAAGTGCAGGAAAGGAGGGAAAAGTCGGGGGATAGAGAGAATCTCAAGCAGACTATGTGCTGAGTGTGGAGCCCTATGTAAGGCTCAATCCCAGGATCCTGAGATCATGACCTGAGCAGAAATGAAGAGTCAGACACTTAACCAACTGAGCCACCCAGGCACCTCTGATTATTATTCTTTCTCCCCTTTCTCTCTTCTTCTGGGATTTCCACAGTGGTATGCTTCTCTTGATAGTGTCCCACAGATCCCTTAGACTCTATTCACCATTCACATTTCTTTTCTTTCTATTCCTCAGATATAGGAGGAAGCACAAGGAAGCCGTCTCTCTACCTAGACAACAGTTGTACTGGCAGAAACTGAAGTAACTATTTTGGAACTCTGGAGTCTATTTGAATTCTTGCGTCTTCCAGGAGAAAGTCTGGTTGGTAAATTGAGGTTAGTTTCAGTCAGTGTCAGCCTCTAGAATGATAACACCCCCCTGTTTCCTACCCTTCAGCCCTGTGGCCAGCAGCCATATTTACATCCCAGTGTGGCTTGCTGGAGCTGTGGTGGGAAATAAGAATCTTGTTCACCAAATACCTGGGTTCTGTATTTTGATTGCTTATTGCTCCTTTTGAGTTCTGAGATTCAGGCGCAGAGTGGTTGCCTGTGTTTCAACCTCCATAGGCTGAGCTGGTTTCTATGGGATTTGAAGGAACAGCTCCTGTTCTGTGTGTTTGTTTTCCCTTTTACCCCATTTGGGAATCAGACATTTAAGGATTAGGACATTCAGAAGCAACCACTTACATAGGGAAAATTAGAAAGCCAATATGTATAACCAGGAAAAGATGAAGACTCAGAAAAGAACTGAGATGTTGACCTTTCACCTTAGGCTGATCCTGATCCCTGGTACAGAGATATCCTTCAACAATAAAAACAAACAAACAAAAAAACAAAACCAACAACCCCTAGGATGGGGGAGAATCTTATTTCCACAGTTACCACATTATAAGATTCAAATGTCCATTTTTTGGCAAAAAATCAAAAGGCATATAAATAGGAAAGTATGGCCTGTTCAGAGGAATGAAATAAACAGAAACCATCCCTGAGGAAGAGGAGACATCTGACTTACTAGACAAAGACTTTAAACCAACTGTCTGGAAGTTGCTCACTGAGCTAAAAGGAAACATAGATGAAGTCAGAAAAGCTATGAGAAAAAAATGGAAATAGTATTAAAGATATAGAAATTATGAAAGGAACCAAAATAAAATTCTGAAGTTAAAAAGTATAATAGCAGAAATGACAAATTCACCAGAAGGGCTCAAAATCAGGTTTGAGCAGGCAGAAGATCAGCAAGCTTGAATATATTTCTTTTTCAAATATCTCTTGAACCCTGTTCCCTCCAACCCCATCCCCTTTGTTCTGCCTTAGTTCAAATCTTTCTGATCTTAGGTGGCCTCTAAACTGTTCCATTTACCCTGTTTTGCCTTTTCTACTTCTACCAGAATGATCTTTTAGAAAATCCAAATCTGAAATTGGCACTGTCCTTAAAAATGTCTGAGGGCATCCTTGGATGTATAGATTGAATTTCCTTTTTTTTTTTTTTTTTTTCCCCATTTTAGCATTCATGGATTTTCCCATTTTGGCTCTAACTTACCACATTAATCTATTGAGCCTTGAAACAGAACTTTTAGTTTCCAGGAAATACCAGGTCTAGAGGAACAAATTCAATAACCTCTTGGGGAAGCAATCATTCAAATCCAGAGAGTGGGAAATTTTGCACTCAAGTGGCCTGATTTCTTCAGTAAGCCTGTATCTTAATATTTTTCTTAAGTGCTAGAGTAAAAAAATACTTAAGGGATGGAACAACCAGATATAGTGTGTGGCCCTGAATTGGATACTGATTTAGGAAAATTAGCTTTAAAAAAATATATTTCAGTCAACAAGATATTTGACTATAGTAGATAATAGATGAGAGGAAAACAATTGAAATATTACATGATTTGGGAAAGCCAACTGTAAAAATATTTTTAGGTTGAAAGAAAATTGGATGTAATCTGGGAATTGGATGTGGGGAAAATATACTGAAATGATAAGGTGGATATTGTTAATTGAATAAAGCAGATTGCTAAACCACGTGATCTCATTCTGAAAAACTATGTTGGCACACAAGGATCTGCATTATGGTATTAACATTGATGGTGGGAATGTGATGTTTTATTTTTTACTGTAGCTTGTCTCTGTTTTCTATTCTCCAAGGCATACTGTACTGAATCTGTAATAAAATTTTATTTAAAAAGCTTATATTAAGATTTACATATATATTTGGGGTATACATAATGAATCAATACATGAATGTATAGTCAACAAAATATTAAAAATGCTTCAAGACTTCAGAAGATTTCCTAATACTGCATCTATTATTTGATATTACTACTTTAAAATGGGTGTGTATTATTATGTAACTGTATAAGGAGAAAAAGAACAAAGCTATTTTCCTGCGGGAGTGCAGCCAAGTCTATTGTAATAGTAGAGAAGTCACATAGAGGACTGCAAAAGAGCACAACAGTTTTGTGTTTTCTCCGGTTGATGTGGACACATTATCCACAGGAAAACATTACATGACTCATTCACCAGGAAAAGAGCATAGACTATTTTAATAAAGAAAAAGGAAGAGTAAGGGATAGGCTGTATATTTTATAAGTTGTCATAACTTACTAGCACCTTTAGTAGCCATTGTTTCTGTTACCAACTACATTTTAAAGTCATTCAGGACTTTAAATCTCATTTTATTGCTTTTGCTCTATAGATCACTTTTGAATGATTTTTTTTTTTTAAGATTTTTAAAAAACCTCTAAACCCAATGTGGGGCTTGAGCTCAAAACCCCGAGATCAAGAGTCACATACTCTAGGAGTGAGCCAGCCAGGTGCCCTACTTTTGAATGATTTTAAGATAAAATTTCAGCCCCTCTTCAGGTGACACTGAAACAAACTTGTTTATTTCTGGTCTGTTCTTTGTGTCTCAATACCTCAAGGCAACTGTGTTGCAGCCAGTGGCCCGTGGACTTGAGGCAAACGTTTTTGGCTTTTGGACTGAATTGTTACTTAGGCTGGACTCCTTTATAAAATGAGAAAAATCGAACATTCTCGATTTTGTGGTAAGGCCAAATGAGATACCCATAAAATGACCTATCACAATGCACGCCTTCAATAAAGGCCAAGTGAGTCGAGTAACGCTGTTAAGGGCTGCTTTTGAAACAGCACTTGAACGGGAAAGATTAGCGGATTTCTTGCTGTAGCACCAGTAGTCTTTGCATGGATACCTCCTTTTAGGCGCTAACAGGTGCTAGCTAGCCTGATTCCCCTGTCCCCTGTCATCCTGCTTCCAGCCCCTGAAGCAGTCACAGCCGCGGCCCGACCGAGTCCAAATACAGAGCGCAGCGTTACCCCACCTTCAGGAGCGCAGACTCGGCGCAGGCGCAGACTCCCGTGGCAGGGTAAAAGCCCAGGTGGAGCTTCGAGGAAAGGAAGTACGCCCTCGCCGCCTGCTGTTGGGCCAATGGGGCTGCTCGGCTTCGCCGCAGGCCTATGAGGCGGGGCGGGAGGCGGGGCGGAGGGCGGAAGAAGCGGTTCTCACGTGAGTAGGGGGCGGGGAGGGCGGGGGCAGGGCGGCTGGGGAGGCCCAGGCGGCGGAGCCTCCGGGACGGCGAACGGCGGGCGGCGGAGGAGGAGACGGCGGGTCGGGTAGGGCCGCGTTTCCCCTCCTCCTCCCATCCTCCTATCCACCAAGCCCGGGGGAATCCTGTGACAGGCCCTGCTGGGGGCCCGGCTGTGTTCTCATCCCGCTGGGCTGGGCCGGCCAGACTGCGCTCACCTCCCTCGACTAGCCGGGTTCTGAGGGGAGCCGTGATTGGGGGGAGGGGGAGCTGTGGCGGAGGGAACAGGGCGCATGCGCAGGCGGGAACGCTCTCGCAGCCCCTGCCCAAACCGGTTCCCCCTGTCTGAGTAGGTGTCTGTCTACGGAGTCCTGAGCTTGCTGCAGTCCCTCTGACCCCCAGGCAAAGCCGGATTGTCTCTCGACTTTCATGTTTGCGGCCAGGTCCTGTTTGGGAATCTGGCTGCTCCCTCCGCCTCAGTTTCTCCCTCTTGCTGGTTGATTAGGACTTCAGCTGGCTTGGGCCTCAAGCTAGCTTCGTGGGCTGCGCCAATTTTGAAAGACTTGCTTTCTTTTACTGCTGGCCTGCCAACTTGTACTGATCTTTCTGTCTCATTTTCCCCACCTGCAGTTAAAGTGTCTCGCTCTCCCCATGTATCTGCTCCCAGTACCTTGTTGCTGCGTCTTGATTCTCAGCAACCTTTAGGGTTTTTCAGGTGTTGAGCCAGAGGATAACCCCAGACTTCTAAGAGTTCGCTGTCCATTGCCTAGTACTACTTTGGTCCCTGCTCTTCTAACGACTGTTAGCATCTGCACCTGTTTTTACAGGCATCTCCATATTTAAGCTTTCTCGGGGACTCCTTTATCGTGGAAGCAAAAATGCTAGAAGTCCGTGTTAAGTGATCATGCTACTAGTGCTTCGCTAGTTTAAAATCGTGTTCCAACTTGAATTTGAAATCTTTTGGCTTTTGTGGTTTTTATTAGTGGGGGGGGGGAACTATCAGGGGCATGGTTTCACCATTTGATTTTTTTTCATCCGTATAAACACCTGTGTTCCCATACATGTGACTGGAATAGTGTAATGTTTCTGTTTCCAGCTGCTTTGTTTATTTAAAAAGAAAACAATGGAGGGTGAATTGCACTGTGTTTATCACATTAAACTGATGTTTGAAAAGTTGAAAAAAAGTTAAATGCCAAGGAAGTACACATTAAACTTCTTTTAAACGAAGGACCTATCGGCCTCAATTCAACGTGTATAAGGTGCTATTTTAATATATATTGAAGGTTTGTAAGAGTTTACTTATAAAAACTGAAAATGAATGTGGGAGAGCGTTCTTTATGGTCTTCCTTTATAGATCTCAGATCGTATGAGATTTGCATCCATGACTGTATTTACTAGTAAGATTTAAAATTTACATGTAGCTTGAATACAGATTAACTCAAATTCCTAATTAAAATTGAACTATTGCTATGTTGTAGTGTACTTCTTTTCAGTTTTATAACCCAGTTTACTGTTGATTAAGTTAGGTCATTGGTGTTAAGGTATGTGTGTGTTTGGATAGTTAACCTTCGAACTCTGTGCATTTTGGTCTTACTGGAATAGTGTTTTATTAGCTGTTGACACGTCCTTAAATTTGAGTTGAGTGGTAATTTAGTGGGACACTGTAAGAGTGAAGACAACTGTTTCCTACCTTTTACATTACATATTAAAAGAAGTGCATTGTGCACGTTATCTACACGAAGAGACATGAGTTCCTCCAAATATATATCAACTTTACAGCCCAGATTCTTTAAAGAAGTCATTTTCTTTTGAGTGTATTTCCAGTTAAACTTTCCAGCCCAAATTCTTTTTAAGAAGTCATTGTTATTGACCGTCTTTCCAGCTAATGCGTAGCCTACTTTGAAGGTTTCATCATTTTGCAGTAATTAACAAGTGATCTTTGAGTACAGACTTCAGAAAATAATCAGTTTAAATCAGTGCTGCTGTTGAGTGTCTTTATAGACAGTGGTGTGCTGAGCTTCTGGTGTAGGCTACCAATAATATCTTTGTAGTTTTCAGTGTAATCAGATATGATTAGACTTCTCAAGCATGTGGAGTAAATGAACTCATAAATAATCTTTCATGGAGTTAGAACTTAAATATCGAAGTGCTGATTTAACCAACATACTTAAAGAAGGGTTTGGCATGACATTTGGGTGCTTTGTATGCAACTGCCTTGTTTTATTGGTTTTCCGTAGTTAGATCCCAAAGAAAGAAAATCCAAGGCCAAGGACTCAAAGTCGGTGGGCAACAACTTAACAGCTATTTCCTTTGTGCATAGATTGGTTACCCAGTCCATCCCCCACCCTCTACCTCCTGTGCTGTGTTGTTTCTGAAAGATACTGATTCTTTGGAAAACTTTTAAGTCAAAATAATACTGGATAGACATTTAAACTTACAACCACTCTTATTGACCCTAATAACTTTGTTTCTCTTCCTATACAAAAACTGAACAAATATGACGGTTTGCAAGTCATGACAAACACTTTAGTTATAGAATTTAGCCTGGAAGTTTCCCTCTTTTCAAAGCAACCAGTATCTCTGAGGTAGTCATCAATGAGACTCTCTTGACGATTGTCTTTCCAGCGTAGTAGAGTTTTATGAGGCCTAGCTTTTCCCCCAAATTCCTTTTTTTGTGGATCACATGTAAAAATAAAGCCCTTATTTTTAAGTTCATACCTGACGTTAAATAGTATATACTACCATGCCTCTGAAGCAGGAGGTGTATCTTCTTAAATGTATGGCTGTGCTGCCAGATTGGGAGGTCCACATCACTCATAAGAGTCCACGCATGGTTGTTACAGATCTCCAGTTAAGGTTGCATCACCTTTTTATGTTACAAATCACCACTCCTTGGAATCCATTAATCTTTGTAGGAATACGTTTTTCTCCATGCTATAATCTGTTATTTCTTTAGGTACATTAGCAAATTAGAGCCTGTGGTAACTTTAACAAACTGTTACTAACTCTACAGCTTAACAATAATTTGACTATTTAAAAAATTTATTTTATATATGATATGTAAAATTTATTAAATATAACAAAATTATTTCATGTATACTTATGTATACAAAATGCATATTATAATTTATATTTAAAATTATAAATATATAAAATTTATATTTTATGTATAAAGTATATAAAATTATAAATATATAAAATTACAATATATAAAGATTATACATATGTTTCCTTATTTATGCATTTTGGTAATTACAACCAACAACCTGTGGTTATAATCTCGTTTTCCTTTTTTTTGAAGATGGCCCTTGTATCAGAAAAAGGAATTGATATGCAGAATCTTTTTTGGGGAGCATATTTTAAATATCATGGGTATTAAGAGACAGCATGTGAGGCTAAATTGGATTAAATGTTGCGGATTTGTATAATACTACTGAGAAGAGCCTTGAGTTAATCATTTTCATGTTTTTTATTGTAGAGGTAATAAACTGTTTTATGCCCTCAAAGGATGCTGATGAATGGATTCTGGCAATGTAAGAGTAGGAACGTGTCATGTAAATCTCTTTTGCTGTGACACACGATTTTCTGTGAATAGACCTCTGATATATCTATAGAAGAGAAATGGTTATATCCTTATCGTAGTTACCTGTTGAATTCTCTATGAATTGAAGAAAAATCTGAAATCTCTCTAAGCTCAAAAGCTAATACTTCTTTACAAAAATTATTCACTACCAGAAACAAATCTTTAAATTTTTTGCTTTTGGTTGTGAGAACCAATCTTTTCAGATAAGTTTAAAAACATCTATGGAGCTTAATATTTGTGAATTTTTTAATATTCTCACATAGTGTCTATTCCAGTGCTGTGATGAAAATGTGTAATAAATATTTGCCCATCCCTTATTCAACACACTTGTCCTATGTCCCACCAACCTTGTGTAATTCTGGCCACCTTATATCAGAAGGTGCAGAAAACAAGTGTGGATCCGCCAAGCATTTGTGGTTTGGATACATACTTTTCCCTAAAAGTAAAAAAGAGGTTATAGTAAAGGGGGTGCCCGGTTGGCTCAGTTGATTGGGCATCTGCCTTCGGCTTAGGTTGTGACCCCGTGGTCCTGGGATCAAGCCCCACTGTGGGCTCCCTGCTCAGCGGGAGCCTGTTTCTCCCTCTCCTCCCTCTTTGTGATCTGTCTCCCTCTCTCTCTCACTTTCTGTCTCTGTCAAATTTTAAAAAGTCATACTTCCAGATATATAAAGTACTAATGTAAATCATTATGCCTTAGGAATCTGTTCCAGAAAAAGAGAATACATTTTTTTTTCCCCCCAAATCTATACTAGGGAGGGCAGACATAATCTGACTTTCTGAATGAGCTAACTTTCATTGTTGCCAGAAGTAGGTTTCTATTGTGGAAATGGCATCCAAATAATTTAAATATTTAGTTTTGGAGATATTGTGTTGAGGTGGCATAAAGTCATCACACCTTGAGTTCTGGAAAAAATTAAAGTGGTGTTTCCTGAAATATCCATAGGAACATGGGGAAACCACCTACATTTTCCCCCCTTTTAGCTGTCAACAGTACTGCATTCAGATAATCAACTCAGAGTTAAATGAATTATTTTATGTCCATTTCTTCCACTCTTACCTCTTGTACCCTTCATCTTGAGGTATCAAGATATAAGGGGTGAGTGTGAACATTGGAATCAGAAATACACAGATATCCCAAGTCTTGTACTTACTGTGTGACTGAAGGTAAGCTACTTAATACTTCTGAGACGCCGTTTCTTCATTTGCAGAAATGGAACTGATTATGCTTACATCATGGGTTAAGATTGGACAGCACCTGGCATCTCCCCACCCTCTTCGTGATTACTCCCAATGACAAAAGAATAGAAATGTTCATTCCTCTCCTCTCTCATACGAGAAAACTGAAGCTACAACATTGTTTAAGTCACATCAAGAAGGACCAAGGAGTTTTGTTTTTTTTTTAATATTGTACCAGACTATTAACTTTAATAAAGCTTTGTTACTCATGACAAAGTGAGAAGTAACTCTGGAAACCCTAGTTGTTTTCTTTGGGCCCTTTACTAATTTTGTGAGTTTTACCTTAAAGATCCTAAAATGTTACAGTTGGGCTTTAAAAACTTGTATAACCAGGGCGCATGGGTGGCTCAGTTGGTTGGGCATCTGACTCTTGATTTCAGCTAAGGTCATGATCTCAGGGTCTTGGGATGGAGCCCTGCATTGGGCCCCCCCCTTCCCTGAAATAAATAAATCTTTAAGGAAAAAAAATTGTATCGAACAACAAATGGATGAACAAAATTTAGTGTAAATACTCCATAGAATATTACTCAGTCTTAAATAGAAAGGAAATTAGGACACATGCTATAACATAGGTGAACTTTGAAGACGTTATACCAAATGAAATAAGCCAGCCACAAAAGGACAAATATTGGGTGATTCTGCTATTTTTATGAGGTACCTGAAATGGTCAAATTCATAGAGAAGGAATAGTGTGTTGGTTGCCTGGAGGAAAGGGAGTTAGTGTTTAATGGATATGGACTTTCAGTTGGGGAAGATAAAAGAGTTCTAAAGGTGGATGGTGGTGATAGTTGCACAA